GCCGGAGAGGGCTCGGAACCTAGAGTCGGCCTCAAGGGCCCTCAAGACTTTGCAAGCTGCGTGAGTTGGAGTTGGAGACACTCATTTCAGTCACAAGTTTGTTGAGAGTATTCGTGAAAGTCGAGAAATCAGACCCCCCCTTACAGAGTTGGAAGATGACAGTTGGACAGATGAAGAGTGGGAACTAGCTCATAAACTTTACGGAATCCTGACGGTCACATCCTGTTTGAAAGGCGGGCTCATTGCAGTTGAGCAGGCTTCAGACCGAAGAACGCAAGGGATTTTCTTTTCCCTCCACGTCGGGCGGGTGAGACCCGCAGTATCTTAACAACTTTTACGGCTTCACTTTGTCAAACGCGCCTGTGCCCAAAGTGGGCCCGCCAAAGCAAAGTGTACGGCTTGTATTGTTGATATGTTATTCTTGCTATATGTACATAGTATTGGCTGTTAGTTTATACAGTAAAGTTTTCCCTGATAAGTGATATTTTTAAAATGAGAAAGCGTGTTCAGACCACCATCCTCCGACAATTCGAAAAGTGAATTCTTATAAAGTGATATCGCGGGGTTTGGCTGCCCTCTATTAATGTCATTCAGTGTCCAAGTTAGTCAAGTTTAGTAAATGACCTATGTACATCGATACTGTAGACCTTATATAGTGATCCTTATAAATAGAGAATACAAACCCTCGTGCTTATAAAATATGTCTTGGGATTTGCATTTTGTAAAAGAAAAAGTTCTACATTGTATAAGCCGTCAATCACGGGGGATGAAAACAAAACGGTTACGCCGGCGGGTGGGAGTTGCGCAAGAACTTCCGAGGCCAACGCAGTGGAGCACAACGTTCGTTGGATGCGTGTTGACATTGCACCTTGTTTTACCATCACATTGGACATTTTTACTACAAGCGGCGTATTTAAGTCAACCCACGTCGCGTGAAGTCAACTCACTGCATGTGCACAAGGTTTCAGCGAGAAGTCAACCCACTCACGTGTAGTCGATTCATTTTGGTCAAAGCACAATGGGCACACTTGAAAAATGAGCACGGCAGGATAGTGACATGTTCAAAGAAAAGTGTGCGCACACTGTGTTATGGCTGGCACTTGGCCTTGCTTTCTAGATGTTTCAAGCCCAAGTCTCAATGGCACAGCACCGTTCACACCAATGCGCATTTTAGAGAATAGGTTGCACGCGCACACACATGGGTATATAGGCCTCTGCGCGAGCTCCGCTCGACCCCGCGCGAGGTTCGCGCTGTGCTGGTTTAGCGTAGTTGCCGGGGTTACGGGGTGAATCCGAGGCATCTGCGCGGTAAAAGCGGTAAAAGTCGATTGTTGTTTTTTCCCTTTTCCCCGGGGGGGGGGGGGCGCCCCTTTGTCATCCTTTGTCTACCATATCCGCGGTAAAAACGGTAAAAATCGATTATTTTTTTTACCGTTTTTACCGGGGGGGTGCCCCTTCTTTTCTACCCTTTCCGCGGTAAAAACGGTAAAAGTCAACATGTTCTTTCTTTACCATTTTTACCGGGGGGCGCCCCTTTTTCTTCTACCACATTCGCGGTAAAAAACGGCAAAAATCGATTCTTCTTTACCGTTTCTACCAGGGGGCGTTTCCTTTTTCAATACCATATCCGCGATCAAAACGGTAAAATCAATTTTTGTTCTTGTTGTGCCGCTTTGATCGAGGGGGGCAAACGGGTCTATGTTTTTTCAATTTTTAACGGAGGGTCACCGCTGTTTCTTCTGCCATATCCGCGGTAGGTAAAAATTGAAAGTTTTCGATCCAAGTGATGTAGGCTTTCATTGCCCTGCAAAAGTTAAACGTCATGAAATTTTGATCAATCACCAAACTCCTCTTGTCGAAAAGGGCACACGCTCCTATATGATAGGAGGAGTGAACCCCACCTGATTATAGGAAGATGCCCGGCCTGTAACATTAAACCTTATTGTTGGCAGAGGTCTTCTAGCTTGCGACCTGGTCCCGATGCATTCTCGCGGTAAAAACGGTCCAAAGTGAAAATTTCTACTTTTGCTGTTTACCTTTTTTTATGAAGAGTCGCTTGCTCTTTTTGCTTCTACCATATCGTTAAAAATCAAAGTTATGTTGTTTTCCGATTTTGTAGGTGGACTTGTCCTTTTCTTTTCTACCATCTCCGTGGCAAAAACGGTAAAAATGTTTGTCTTTGATCTGTTTTACTGGGGGGCGCTCCATGTTTAAATTTCATATCCGCGGTAAAAACGGTAAGAATCGAACAGTTTCTTTTTCTACCGTTTTTACCGGGGGGCGCCCCTTTTTCTCTACCATATCCGCGGCAAAAACGGTAAAAATCGAAAATTTCATGTTTTTCCTTTTTTCCTGCGGGGTCGCGAAAGGATACCCCTTAGCTCGCGAACCAGCTTAGGGTTCGCGCGAGCACGACTCCCACAGTCGCCATACAGCTCCCTACAGTCAGCTGTTGGCCCACCCACCCCGTGTGCGCAACACAAAAGGGTACCATGGAGATTCTGGTGCGAAACACCATTGTGTGATTGAGTGGTGAAGGGTGGCAAGAAACACGTGATTTCAATTTCCGCAAGTACGCGTGACACACATGACCCTCTGATGCGTGCCGCAGGTAACCCTGGCCACTTTGAAAAAGATGTTTTAAAATGTTTTAAACATGGTGATTCCTGCCTAGTGACCTAGTGGAGTGGGTGGCGACGATGACCCCTGCCCTGGGCGTCACAGATAACCACCCTATGCGTGACTGTTTGGGGCCGGAGATGGTTCACAAGCCGAACCGCTTCACTCTTCCATGAGAATGTGGCAATACGCTTTGCGATGGCGTGAAAAGAAACTGGCAGGAGTATGTAGAACTGAGGGTTGCGGCGGTCTATAGAACATATGTGGCATGCCAAGCCCCTCAATAATTGCTCGAGCTCCATCAACATCTTTTTGATGAGGGGTCCGTCAGGCCTGTTTGTCCCGTCAAGCCCGTAGGTCCCATGGATCGCGTGAGTCCCGTTGGGGCGGGCCCGTCAGCCTGTTGGTCCCATCACTCTCGTGGAGGGACCGCGGAGAGCCCGTCAGCCCGGTTGGGCCAATTGGTCCCGTAGAGTTGAAACTCGTGTAGCGGGCCATTCTCGAATGCAGAGAACAATTCGAAATGCAGATTTTGTTGCAAATGAATGCAAATGATGCATTTTGCGAACCACAAAGTGGAAACGTTGTGGCAGGATGTGGCAGGCGAAACACTTTGCGCTCCTCCAAATGCAGACTGCGTGGCAAGCAAAGCGCTTTGCACGCCTCACATTTCATGGAAGGTGCAACGCTTCGCACCTGTATATACAGATTTCGATAGGTGTCATTGCAAACATAACATTGCGAAGCACTCAGCGGATCTCGAAATGCAACATCGTGGCACGCAGCATGTTGCGAACTGCAAAGTGCAATCTTCGTGGCAAGCGGAATTTTGGAGAACTCGAAATGCAGGTTTTGTGGCAAGCGCAGCGCTTTGTGAACATTAACGTGCGGATTTGGTGGCAGCGAAATGTGACCTTGAAGTGCAGGTATGGCAGGCGCTGTGAGTTGTGACCCGTGAAGTGCAAATTTTGTAGGGCAATTTTTGTGGACGGTGCAGTGCTTTGTGAACGTCGAAGTGCAGTCTTCGTCTCCAGCACGGCATTTTGCGAGCCGCGGAGCACAATATTCGTGGCAGGCGACACGCAGATGTCGTGGCAGGCGAGGCGTTTTTTGAACCTTGAAACGGCAATGGTCGCAATCGCGGCAGCCGCGACGTTTTGCGAACATTGAGGTGCTTCGTGGCAGGCGAACTACAGATTTCGTTTCAAGAACGGCTTTTCTGAACGTTGAGCGGAGCGTGCGTTTCGCATCGTGGCACGCGAAACGCTTTGCCCACCTCGAAGTGCAAGTTGCGTGGCAGGCACAACGCTCTGCGCATGTCGCACCACAGGATCTGCATTTCGAGATGCGCGACCAAAGGGGACCAAAGGAGCAGGGACCAGCGGACCAAAACCAAAGGACCAGGTTTCAGATTGAAGGACTTTTTCCAGGACGAAAGACAAGTGCTGTTCCCCAGACAAGCCAACAGCAGAAATCACGGCTCAAACAGAATGGAGTCGGCCCCACCAAGATTGAGGCGCTCGCGGCAAATGAACGAAAGGCAGGCCCGCTCACATCTTGCTTTGACAGCCTCCGGGTTCCAGGGGCCGTGAGGAGCATGGCTCGGTTGAAACAGTCCAAGCCCAAGGCAGGGCAAAGAAGGGAACCAAATGCACAGGCAGTGCAACGGGACCGCCCTGCGAGTCAAGGAGTTCTCGGCTCTGCCAGCTAGTGGTGAAGGCTGGCAGATCGCAGCCGGGATGGAAGGCACAAGCGGGCAAGGGTTGGGAACGCTATGCAAAAAAGAGCCTTTTGGCCTTTTGGTGCACTCTCTCCAACATCCAAGGAGCCTGTTATTGAAAACAAGGATCTTCAGCTGACAGCATACTGATTTGACAGCCTTGCTCTCTTGACAAGTCTCTGCCACGCAGATCTCATCAAGCTCATATGCAACTGTTGACGTCTGTTGACATGAACAAATGTATGTGGCAGTGGCACCGCAGTACACTTGTATCATATGCACACCAAACAGTCAGTCCGTCGAACGCCAACAGGCGGTGTGAGTTCATTGAGAGCGGGCAACTGAGCAACGAGTATAACGAGTGCCACACGTGCAGCGATGGCATCAATGACGCTGTAGCGAGTGAACACAGCATCATGACATGTCATAGCAGAATGAAAGCATGTTAATTATGTTCTTTTTATTTGTTTCTAATATCGATGGCCTCCACCCTAGTAGCGATTGCTCCAATGAGCAAAGCGTGTCCAGTCAAGTACTCGCAGCGGCTCTCGCAGGCGGTGGCTGATCGGCGTGGATAAAAACCGTCGCGGTTCGGGCTCGTACGTGATTGACTTGACAAACAGTACAACCATGTCATCTAAGCAAACAGCGAGCCAAACAACGAAGAGACTGCCTCTCTGCAGCGGCTCTGTTCTTTTTTTCACAACGCTGTCAAGGCTTAGCGAGCAGCAAAAGCCATCTTCAAAGCCTGGCAACTGCACCATACTGCACCGGGCACACTTCTAAAGCGGGATTCTTGGTTGAACAACCACCTTCAAACATGCTCAAAGTAGAAGTCCGGAATGTCCTCTGCCTCTCATTGACAAATAGAAACACCCATAGAGTGAGAAGAATTTGGGGGTGAAATGGGTGGTCTCGAAAGCTTCTCCTCCAGTTCAGACTCCTTAGTCTCATGTGAGTTGGAGTTTTGGTATCTTGCGAACCAACCATTGCGCCGAAGGAGCTAAATAAGACAGGAAAAAAAACATGAAATAACAAGAAACAAACAAAAATCATCTTTCGGGCGCACCAGTCTCCCGTCTCTTAGCTCCACAATGTTCTGCATAAATGCAAAGGTCAACATGTTCATCCTCGAATAAAACAGCGTCATTGTTGGGTCACCATGCACTTGCGACACATAACATGGGCCCCCTAAAGCATCCTCCTAAGGCACCAGGCGTGTGACATATCCCTTGGAAGGGATCGTTTCTCATCGTCGTAGCTCAGGCCCAATAATTCCTGCCGTGATAGGGGTCAACTCAAAAGCTTAAGTTTCCCTAAAAATCTAGAAACCAAATGAATACTGCGAGCGCTTCTTCAAGGAAGCATCGCCGCTAGGGCGGCGGAGGGAGCTTCCTTGAAGAAGCGTGAGCATCATAGCTAGTAGCGTCCACTTGTAGCTACTAGCTACCTAGCTTCTACTAGCTACCTCTTCGACTAGCTACCTACCTACTAGCGGCCTACCTCCCTTCAAAAAGAAACTTTATATATACTGTATATATATATAACTTCTTGTTACTACAAGTGAAACAATTCCCAGAAGAGGGCAATTTCTCAAGATCTGTCTTGGCGCCTGTCTTGCAACTTCGCCCTCTTGGCCGAGCGTCTGCAGCTCCTGGAAGCGTCGTTTGGCATGTTTGCACCAACTCGGAATGTGCTCTGCGATTTTGTAAAGTTTGGAGTATAGTAGAATAAATGTAGGATGGGTGATGGGAATAGTGCCGGTTTTGGCTTTTGCCAAACTGTCGCAAACTGCTCCAAGTCACAAAACAGCACTCCTGGTCGAACCATTCAGGTCCCCGCACATGGCAAATCTCCTCAGCCCGCCTCAGAAATTCAGGTCACGATTGGGCCGAAGGAGCCCGATCGTTCACAGAGACTAGGCAAATGCGGCAGATGTTGTGTTTGGAGAAGGAACGTCAAACATGAACATGAAGGTACCATATATATATATAATATTATATTATATATATTATATATATATTATATATATATTATATATATTATATATATATATACTATATATATATAAGACCCGAGCTTCGAGGCTACTTACTGCTCCTGAATCACACGATTCCAAAAGCCAAAAGGCAACTCTTTCAGAAAGAGCTCACAGGCACTAGTTTGCAGCGGTATGCTCGTACATGTCCGCTGGGACCACAGTCAAAACGGTGTAAGAAGCTGGCTCCGCCAACATTGGATCCGCTGTCACCAGCACTTGCCGGCGCGGGTATGGGCGCGACAGCATTTCCAGCATGTACCTACACGGCTTCAACGACATGAAGCAGTAGAGTCCTGGTAGAGCTCAAGTGTTGGGAAACCACCAACCTGGACTTAGTCTACGGTGGCCAGAAACTGGTGCATCTAGGATAATAAAATAGCAGGTGTTGTCATCCATTACCCACTGTGGATCGTATGAATAGTTTTCTTGTCCATCATGCTCCCACGCGAATACAACAAAAACTAGGCCAGCAAACAGTACAGTACAGGAACACTCCACCCTAATATACCAAGTTCATACTGGTCCCAAAACGGTGGCCACAAGGCGCACAAGACTTCGCGGTCACATCGGTAGCTCTCTGAGGCGCTCGTATCCACATAGCTGTTGGACCACCTGGCACAGGTCTAGGCGGTCTAGGCCTCTAGGCCTTCGGGCCCACAGACATTCACAGAAGGCCCATGATGCATGGAGTTTCAGTATCTGTGTGATGTGACCCCCGTACCAGGCATGAAGACAATACAGAGAACAGTTTTGGGGGATGTCCCACTATGGTTTTGGGGTCAGGGTCTTGACCGTCCTCACCGATACCGTAGTGATTCAGTGGCTTATGGGTTTTACCAGTCAACTACTATGCACTGCTATCCTGTCGTACGATCACAACAAAAAGAGATGTCAGCAAAACTTTGGAAACTGAATGGCAGTGTGTCCCAACAAAGACAGCCCCACGCTATTAAATGAACTCAGAATTCCGGAAATTTCTGGGAATTATAACTCGACTGTCCCTTTAGCTCACCTCACTCAATGTGACGCCAGGCGGTGCCATTCCCGGGTAATAACTAACAATTGATGATAGTCCATAAAGCACCCACACCTGAAGGTAGGTCTCTACAGTACAAATGTGAAAGACATCTAAAAGAAATGCACAAAAAAGAATGTGGTGCCCATCTCCACATCGTCCACTCATCCCAATCGAGCGACTTTTTGAAATCAGAATTCGGAGCAGCCAATCGATCTCTTACAAGATGCTGGCTGGTTCAGTCTTGCAAGCCCGTTGGGCAATTCTAATAAAGCGCGCATATTCGACTCGTTTTGGACCAATGATTCACCGAGGACCGAGGCCATCTGAGCGCAAGGTGGGGAACACTATTGTCTAATGTTGCAAAGGCATTGAATATCTTTGAACATCTTTGAATCATGTTGGTTGGATCAATTTCGTCGGATCCCAGATCTGCCGCAGTATCCACCGCTGTTGGCCCCGCTTTGTACAGGGAGAAGTTCTCATCAAGCAAACTGAACATCACTCGACAGTCACGTCGTGTTGCTTAGATTTTGGAGTGAAGACTTTGCACCTGACTATTCGATGTCGATTTTACTTCATTCATCTGACACAGCTTTCCAGCCAGGCTTCTCCATGAGGTGCAGGATTCTAGATTTGTGGGATCAAGCACCCTGATAATTCACAGGGAGTCTTGACAGCAGTTCTCGCACTGTAGGGATGTCTTGTCAAACAAAGATGAAACCAGAAAGTCCACTTATCGCTTCTTCATGCCCCTTCATGTTGGTTACCTTGTGTGTCAACTGATACCTCCTGCCTGCACATGATACTTACAATTGCTGCAGGTAGCCAAGTTGCAGTACCTTCGATCCACCCAATTGGAATAAGATCTGATTCTTTTTGCGAGATCCGCCAACCTGCCCAGATAGCCATACCGGGAAAAGCAAAAGCTCTTTGCAGCCTGCTTCCAGGCGCTTGGTGCATGACAGAGCGCCAAGATGAACAGGTCAACCAAGCTTTGGTACACTCCTAACAACTTGCGACATGCCCTTTTATCAATCCGTTTCGTAAAGGAAATGACGTCTGTGCTAGACATATTATGCACTCTGTACAAAGAAGACTGGAGGCTGCCGGGTAGTTTGGGTTTCAGGCTGTGGCTAAATTCTGGGTGATGAAACACAACGTCTCAGAGAATGCAATCACCAACCCGAACTTGGAATCCGATCTTGAGTGACAAAGTGGTGTTGACCAAAGCCTGATCAACCTGAACCGCGGTCATTCTTGCTCTGCACTTGTTGCGTTGCTGCGACAGGTGCGCAGATATTCGCAGATATTCGCAAATCATTTGTCCGTCATTGTGGCTACAGCAGTCCATTCTGCCAATTCCTCCGAAAACACATCTCAAGGCAGATCCCTCGGTTTCAACTATCAGGCCTCAAACCAGCTCTCCCTCTCTCTCTCACCAATCCCCAAATGCACAGGTGGTGAGGGGGAATGAAATGTTCATGCAAAAGGAGGACCTATCTTACTAAAGGAACAAACATCAGTTTAGTCAACCCTCTCCATCGGTCTCCTGCATCTTTTCGGGGTCGGCACCTTCAGCCTAGCGGCGCAACCAGCCAGGTAAACCGGAATGCAAAGCTGAAGCAGCTTGTCCATCAGTGCAAACCACAGGCATCCTTCTCACATACGACTAGTGCTAACTGGTACGGCACGCAGTTGCGCAGACCAGTCAAACCTTGCCTTCAAGTATGCAGATAGTATCATGATGTATCATGTATCATATGTCACAAAACTGTTCATGCAATGCCACCAGATCCGCAAGTACGTATCCAGCAAGCAGTTCATGAGAACCTCATAGAAGAGACTGACCTGCCAGCAGCCGCCCACCTTCAAAGCCATACTTGCAGAGCGCCTCAAGTAGTGGCCGTCCAGTCATAGGCACATCAAGGACCATCAATCATATGACCCAAGTGTGGTGGTGGTGTGAATGTCAGACCTCTGCAAAGTGAGGAGCCAACACTGAATTCATTGCCAGAGCACATCCAGGCCCCCCCGTGGGCCCCCCTGGGCCCCCAGTCTTCAGAAGACGTTGAGCTGCGACATCCTCAGGACGCTCCTGGCAGTCTGTTTGACCAGAACTTAACCTAGCTGGTCTGGGAGCCGGTGAGCGTGCCAAAAGGGGTGGTAAGCTGAGGCGAGATGAGATGATAAGACCATTACGACACGTTGCCGCTGATGGTGAGAGATGACATGAAAGAAAACCAAATGAAGGCAAGGATGAGGTAATAGATGGTAATAGACTGAGAAAACAGTGAGGTGCGGATACCCCACCCCACACACTTGCAGACGTCCCCCACATGAAAATACTCCGACAAAGGAGCTATGAGTGAGCTCAAGCTGAGAATTGGTAACAGTTTGAAGCGAGACCATCCTTTGCCTTCTGTGTGATGGAAAGTCGTTTGGTCCTGAAATGTGCTGAAGAAATATAGTTGTGCTGTAAGTAAACAGCCAGGAAACGGTACGTCTCAAAGCTTCTGTCAAAACACCTACAGTCACAATGCTCACCTAGACATAGAACCGGGTACCTGTTCGACCCACAAACAGCTCCACAAGCAATCGCCTCCAGCAGTTGACTGGCCAAATGTACGGCCTGTCACAAATTGAACAAGGCCCTTGTTCCACCCACGTCTGATTTCGAAGCACGTTTGCATCAGCGCCACTGCGTTTTCAAACTGCACTCCATGGAAGAAGAAATCACGATTCTTTTCTTGCATGAAAAACCTGGAAACGTCATGAAACATTGTTTGGGTCAGTCCCTGGAACTTGTGATTTACACCATGTCGACCAATTGCACGTGCCCCACCTCTGAGAAGTCTCGCTTCGCATAGGCAGTCCAGGCTTCTTCATACAGCTGTGCCTGAAGCTGGAGCCAAATAGGTTGGAGGTCATCAGGTTGGAGGCCATCGCTATTAGGTGCATATTTTTCTCTATGTTATTTCTAAGCAAAAGCGGCTGAAAAGGAAGTATCCTGAAGCCCCTTGCCACACCTGCAAAGCGTTCATGCTGACCCTTGTGTAGTCAGAACTCGGACCATTGATGGGCCTTTGTTCAATACACCAGCCAACAGTTGACCAAAGCTTGGTTTGATCAGCACATGAATAGGTCAATTTTCACCCAAACTCATCAGAGTCATCGCAGTCATCGCAGTCATTGTGTGGGCTCAAGCGCTTGCAACCATGACCTTTGGACCTAGTGTTGCCGCTTCATATGGTCAGCAAGCAACAATGAGTTGTTTCGAATCTCATGCGAGCAAGCTGTGGTAGGTATTACTATATTGATTACTTACGTTTACTTATATACTTATATAATTGATCATTCCAGTCAAGCTGCTTTGCCTCACGACCAGTTGGACTACAGTACCCATCCCTGCCCAATCCCCTTCAGTTGGCATCGTTATGGCCTGCGTGATGCGGTTCACTGGGACTGGCTCCCAAGCCATGACATCTGGAGTGGTGCCAATCTTATGCCTGAGAGGTGAAACCTTCAGGAAACCTTTCAACTGAACCCTTCAGGGAAATCCAGCCATGAATCTGTAGACTCGAGATTCAAGATGCTCACAGAATCTCAGGTTGGGTATGGCAAGTTCGGTGAGGTGCTGGAATCTGGATACCAGCCAGCTATTGAGCTTTGAGTTAAATGGTCACTCAATAATTGCGATTGGAGGGCCTAGGCCTATGGCACTTATCTTGTGCTTGGAAACTGTCGGCTGTCGTCTGTTCGTGACTTTGCTGCTTCGGTCCAACATCCCAAGGCTCTGGGATTCACACCTGAGCTTTCTGGGAGAAACGCATGGACCCGACAAGAGCGTGGGCCTGATCCGAGGATGGTTGCTCTCGCCCGATGCGTCCCGTCTCCAGGGAAAAGGTGGAAAGGACACATTTGCTACCTTCAAAACAATTTGCGCTTCACCTTGTCATCTCCTCAAAAACGGTCCATCCAAGGACAGCCAAAGGCATTTTCACATGGGCCGGCTTTTCCTCAACAATCCAGCAACTGTCTATAAGCTTTCTGGATTTGTTGCGAGACCTCACTCCAATTCAACGGTCCTCCAGCTTTGCTGTGATCGTTAGCACACCTCCTTCACAACTCACAAAAGCAAGCCACCTGAACATACCTCCTCCCCACTCCAGCGAGGCCTGCTCACAGGAAGGATGGGCTGCTTGGTGTTGATGGGTAGCTTGTCGCCTGCCTGTGGGCCCCATGTCAAGCAAAGGACATTCAGCAAGGTTCTGGCTGAGGGGGGGCCTATCGCTTTAGCAGGTTTTAGCCCAAGTTCTGGAATTCACGCCCGCTCTTTGCGAAATTGGTCATCGCACGTTTTGGTGGTTGCCCATGTGTGATGTAAGGTGTGAATGGAACTCGACAACTTGGGTGCCCAGGAGAGAAACTAACTCAACACCTATCTGAATTGCTTGATGAGACCTTTGTAGCAAGAGTTGTAGTCAACAGGTACATGACCATGAAAAGCTGAGAGATCGTGTGACAAAAAATAACCTGCCTTGCTGCCACGCAAGTCTCGGCCAATCACCTCTCAAGGTGTACAATGTTTGGCGCC